AGCTGGGGAATTTACCACCTTAGCGGGTCGTGACGCGCTGGCTCCACCAGCTTAGTCTGCCAGACTAAGCGGCCTGCCTCTGGTCTTCAGATAAATAATTCATCCATCAAAATTCAGATAATCATTTGTTCATCCAATTTACAGCTCTGTTAGAAGAGGTTTCTAGATTACAGCAACTTCCCCGCACTTTAAACCCCAATTTTCAGGTTATACCAACATCTTCTGAGGCCGGGCTCCAAGTGGCATGCTCAGACAAAGTTCTACTGAGCAAAGGGTGCTGTGGGCTAGACGCAGAGCTTCAAAGACAGGCTGGGGATGCAGCTTAGTGGCAGCATGCTTGCCCCAGCATGTACAAGCACTGAGTTCAGCCTGCAACACCGAGGAGCTAAGAACAAAGCAATACCAAACCCAAAGATGGCTCATTAACAAAAATAATGAGCCCCAAAGTGACCCAAACACCAGCCACGTCTCCGAATCTCAGGAGATCTTGGGGGAGAGTAGAGCAGGCTTGCTTCCATCTCTAGCTGAACCTGAGGAGAAGCTAATCATTTTACAGACATGTCTCATTGGCAGCTCCCGTTCTTCACCTCCAACATGGATGGGAATAAATTGCTTTAAGATTGCTCAGAGGCACAGAAGGAGTTAGAAGCGGGAAAGGATATGAATGCAGAGCCATAGTGGTCCCTGTCAACTTTCCTAACTCCAGATTCATTCAGCTCAGTTGCATAGAAAACTACTAGGTTTTCAATGGAAGGGGAGTCTTGGCCACATACTACCTCGTGTTCCTCATATGTCCAGTATTCTGAGTCATAATTCCACACGGAGTGCTTTAATGTATTCTCTAAGGTTTATGTGTATTTTAAATTATGTATAGTTGTGTGTGTGTGTGCGTGTGTGTGCGTTTGCACATGCATGCAGGTGCCCACTGAGGCCAGGGATATCAGATCCTCTGGAGCTGAAGTTACAGGTAGGAGTGAGCATTTCAAGGTGGGCACTGGGAACAGAACTTGGGGCCTCTGGAAAGGCTGCGCATGCTCGTAACTGGGGAGCATCTCTCCAGCCCTATATATTCTTATCAGAGAAACAGGTGCCACATAATTCCCTATAGGGCACCATCAGGCATCAGTTTTAAATTAATTACATTAAAAGTTTATGCATATGTGTACCTGTTTATCTCTGTACCACATGCTTGCAGTACTTACTGAGGACATAAAGAGGGCGTCTGATCCTCTGGAAGGGGCATTAGAGGAGGCTGTGGCTGATAAAGGTGCTGAGAACTGAACCCTGGTCCTCTGTAAGAATGGGATGTGGCTAGGCTGAGGTGGTACACGCTTTAATCCTAGCACTCAGAAGGCAGAGGCAGGTGGATCTCTGCGAGTTCCAGGGCAGCCAGGGTTTCACAGAGAAACCCTGTCTCCAAAAAACAAAGACAAAAACAAAACAGAAAAGAGCAGTATGTGCTCTTAACCACTGAGCCATCTCTCTAGTCCCAACATCTGCTTTTTCTTCTTCTTCTTTTTTTAAAAGATACATGTATAGCATGTATACACCTCTTAGCTGTTTGGCCTACTCCAACATCATAGCTGGATCTTGTAGATGTTTCTTCTGTGTTCCCCCAGACAGGCTGGACCTCAGTTGTGGCCTGTTTCTCATTTTCTGACAATGTGAATGGTTGGTAGGCAAATGAGGGTTCTTTTAAACTCTGCAGGGCTGAGGAGACATCCCCGAGGCCGGAGTAACAGAAGCGTGTGAGACGGTAATGACACACTGCGAAGCAAGCTCTGCCACGGTGTTATTTGAAAGGAACTTGAACTTTTAGCAAGATCTCACCGAAGAAAAGTAAAATGAGGCAAATGGCAGAAAATAGCAACGCTGCCGTGAAAGGGCCCGGGCATCTTGCTGACTGGAAAATGTCAAACTCAGAGAGAAAATGACAGGAAGAGAACGGGAAAACTGGGGCGCCTCACTCCTAGAGCCACGAGCAGCCATTAGATAATAGTGACCTTTAGGAAATTAAAGTCCTTATGAAAAGAAACCTGGTGTTTGGCCAAAGAGTTAAAAAATTATCAAAATATTTTATCTCTGGAATCACCCTTGAAATGACTTGGAAGCAAAAAGAATCAAGTGTGTTTACAGATGGAGAAACAGACAAAGCCCAGACAGCTATCCTTTTAACTGGTGAACAGCCACAAACTTTCAGATGACTTGTACAATTGTGTGTGCGATGTGTGTGTGTGTGTGTGGGGGGGTGCATGCATCTCACGGCGTGGGGGTCAGAGGACAGTTCTGGGGAGTTAGTTCTCTTCTTTTCCTTTCCACTTTCTTGTGGGTTCTGGAAATCAAACTCAGGGCCTCAGGCGTAAGCAGCAAGTGCCTCTACCTGTCGAACCATAATGCTGGCTCCCACCCACCCCATCTTTTAAAAATCTCTGTGTAGCCAAGCCTGGTGGCATACGCCTTTAATCTCCACACTCAAGAGGTAGAGGCAAGTGGGTGTTTGTGAATTTGAGGCCAATCTAGTTCAATGAATTCCAGGACAGTCAGGGGTACGTAGTGAGACCCTGTCTCAAAACAAACAAAAAAGCAAGTAAGCAAAATAAAAATCTTTGTGTGCAGGTATGCAAGTATGGAGGTCAGAGGACAATCTCAGGGGTCAAATGACCCCCCCCCCCAAATGTTGTTTGAGACAGAATCACTTGCTCACTGCAAACCAGGCTGGCTGACCTGTTAGCTTCTGGGAGTTCTCCTGTTCCTGCCTCCCATTTTGCCATAGAAGTATTGGATAGATGTGTGCTCCCATATCTGACCTTAGGTGGATCTTCATATTTTTGGGTTGAGCACTTTACCTTATGAGTTTACCCTATGAGTTATGTCTCTCCCCTTTTACTAAGCATTCCTAAGTAGGGGTGTTTGTGAAGATGGCAATGCCAAAGGCCCAGCAGAGCTTGAATTCCCAATTAGGAAGCATGAAGGAGTTGGAGGCTCCTCCATGACTTGATCTCAGTTTAACTGTGGGAAGTTGGGATACCTGAAATCCACAGTGGTGTCTGTCTTGTTCATCTCAAAGATGCACCTTCTAAAACTGAGATCCTGGTCGAGGGAAACAGGTTGATCAGTAAAGTGCTCACGATCCAGCCTGAATTCAATATCCAGAACCCACATAAAATAAGTGGGGCACAGTAGTCAGTAGTGATGCTTGTCACCTTAATGCTGGGGAGGCAGAGACAGGTGGAACTCTCATGTTGACTGTCCAGCTGGCCTAGCCTATTTGGTGAGATCAGAGCCAGTGAGAAACTCTATCTATAAAACCAAAAGCAAACATAACCAAAAATCCCAAAGGTGTCGGGTGGAGAGTTAACTCAGCAGTTGAACAGTTCCTCCTGCTCTTGTAGGACCTGGGTCAACTCCTAGCACCCACACTGTGGCTCACGTGACTCCTCTGACCTCAGGGTCCTGCATGCACATGGTGCATACATACACTCAGGCACACATACATACACGTAAAATAAAATAAATAAAAAGCCCCACCAGGTAAACAGTACCTGAAAAATGATATCCAAAATTGACCTCTGGCTTTTACATGGATGAATATACATGTGTACACACATACATACACTCATGTATAAACATGTACTCATATATGTATATATGCATAAACAAACAAACAAACAAACAAATAAATAGATGTGTAATCCTCAGTGGTTTTCGAACCACCTATGCCACAGGGTCTGAACTCTGCCCAAAACCATGACAACCAGACCCCATCTCCTTAACAAAAGTCATATTCTAACATCAAATATAGGAAGATTGGATTCAATTCTCTCCCGAATATGTCACGGGCATCTTGGTCCCATGAATCTGTTTCCTTAAATGCCAGATGGTTCCACACCCTGGTCATCCCACTGGTCTTCCATACCCCCCATAATGCTTCTTGAGTTAGTGGGCCAAGGAAGGGGTAGGAGGAGAGCAGGTCAGGAACCTGGTTCCCCGAGCAGCAGTGACTGGGGGGAGCTTGACAGCTGTGACCTCTGCTACCCCATCACAAGGCAGGGCCTCCCCGTTCCACCTGCAGCTGCTGGCTTGATGCCCAGCACAAGAAAAGTCTCCCATAAACAGGGGTTTTTAAAATTTATTTCTTGGGGTTCTGGAGATAGAACCCAAAACCTTGCACACATCAGATAAAGGCTACCACTAAGCTCTAGTGAACATATGTATTTTTTTAACTTTCAATTACAAAATGCATATTTTAAACAAAATCAAGGAATGGATTTATAGCAACCAACCACAATGTACAATTTTATTATTGTTATTATTATTATTATTATTTTGCAATAGCTGCTCTAGGACAACGCTGCCTGGCTATTACTTAAAGCTTAGATAGGGTCTCATGTATCCTAGGTTGGCGACAAACTCCCTACGTGTCTGAGGATGCCTTTGAAACTCCGATCCTCCTGCCTCTAAGTCTCAAGTGCTGGGATTACAGGCGTGTCCCAGCATGTCCAGCATTGACCTTTCTCCTTTAGAGTCAATACACAGATACATTTGAAACACAAAGACACATGTAAAGGTTTTGCAATTGTAAAGTGTATGTGTGTACATAAACACCCAGAAAAAGAGCTAGGCTAACCTAAACTAACGTTTCTGTGAAATCATCATTAGTGAATTATTTCAACAAATAATAAGAGTTACTAAAACTTCAGATACTGCAGTACAGTTCCCATCTGGTTCTGTGTGCTGGACAAGCACTGGGCTATATCCCCAACCTATTGTCTACAGTTTTATTGAAACATTGAAGAGAAAACATAATCAACAGAGCGTACCAGGATACCAGGGCTACATAGAGAAACCCTCTCTGGAAAAACAAACAAACAACCCCCCCAAACAAACAAACAAAAAAAAAAGAAGGAAAAGAAAACATGAACGATTTTGACCCCATTTTCAATGCCAGGGAAACAAACCCATAAGCCACTTGAACGTTTATGAATCTGCTGGGAAGTTACCTTCGTTTCCCGGAGAAGAAACTGCAGGTCACGCCCACTGAGAATGCCGTGATTTTTGACGTAACTGGGAATGTTCTTTGTGCTGGAGCCGTAAACAGTGGCATGAACTTCCATGTACGTGTGAATGATATCCAAGTAGATCTTCTTATTCTGGAGAGGGGACAGGAAGGAGCAGAAAGTGCATTAGTGAAACAACATGCATGGCCGGTCGGGACCTCTGGGGAGAGCTACAGGGCACAGAGACAGCAAAGGTCAACGCTGGGATCCTAGCCACGTGGCCCTCCAATAGTGAGATTTATTTAAAAGCAACCTGGCCTAGGGATGGAGACATGGCTCGGAAGGTAAGCATGGCGGCCTGCTTGCAATCACGTTAGGGAGGCAGGAACAAAGGGTCCCTAGGGTAAGCCGGCTAGCTAGACTAGCAGAATCAATGATCTCCAGGTTCAAGTGAGAGACTCTGTCTCAATACCTAAGGCGCAGAATGATCAAGAAGACAATGATGTCAGCCTTCATGCATAATCCCCGCAATGCATATATGTACAGGTATACATAAGTGTGCCCACACACATGCAAACCCATACACATGCATACACACACACACACACACACACACACACACACACACACATATATGCCACAACGACACATATACACATGAAAAGAAGGAATCTGTCCGGATCTTGAGGGTAGAAATAGTCATATTGCTACTGTACAAGTCTGCAAACAGAACCATGTTGTGTGTATACATATGTATAATTATATATATATATATAATTAATATAAATATTACAGAATAAAAACAGTCATGGCCAAGGAAGTATCATCCTTATTTTGGGAATTGCTAGGAATCTAATGTATTGCTTTTGGCTCACCCTGATTTTTGGGAAGGAAGTTTGTGTGTGGTGTGGCTGGGATGAAGGTTTGGAGAAGGCAGTCGGTTGGACTGGAATATTTATCCAGAGTTGTTAAGCTGTCTCCAGGGAATACAAACATCCCCCGCTCGCCAGATTTCTTGTGATGATTAACTCACGCTGTCAGGACTGCAGCCCACTTCTTTCTGATGCTGAGCAAGAGGACGGTTTCTCACAGTCCGTACCAAAGGGCCCAGCAGCTGGAGAGCTGAGACTACCCAAGTGAGTCGCAAGAGACAGAGAAGTGAAGTGGGATCCTTGAGGTGCTATGAAGCCGTGGAGAGCACACAGACTTCTAATCAAAGCAGAACTAAAGGTCCCGCCATCTGTAGGCCCAGGTTTCCAGGTTCCAAAATTGGAACCACCTGTGCCAAGGAAGCACACTCACTTTCACTTCCCCTGCACATGTGTGTGTGACTAAGTTGTACGAGCGGATTTTGTGTGGCATGCCCCCTCCCCTTTTTTTTAATTTGAAGGATCCAAGCTCTATAATGGTTTCCAGTTGTGCCAAAGTAGGACATGCATTTTCCTATTCTGAATGTCTCCCCCCGCCCACACACACATTAGGCAAATCTAATAATAGCCAGTTTGTGACCAAAGACTGTTATAGAACTTAGAGAGAAAGAGAGAGAGAGAGAGAGAGAGAGAGAGAGAGAGAGAGAGAGAGAGAAAGAGAAAAGATGGGTGGCCCTAGAAGCCCAGAGTGCAGAGAAGTGTACTTCAACCCAAATGAAGCTGGTCTAAGCCATCTCTGTGTGCCATCCCTTCTTCTGTTACTATTACACAGCGCCTGGACTTTGGAGGAAACGTTTCAGAAGTATTTGTGAACAAACCCCAGCTAAGTCACGTTAAAATGACCCATTTTGTGCATCAGAGTAACAGTCAGTAATAAGCAGCCTTTGGCTCAGTGTTGGAGTCAGTACTAACAAGGTAAAGGTAGGAAGCGGGGTAACTGGGCAGACAGGAGGCAAACAAGGGGGCTCAGGGACCATCTTAGAAAAGGGAGCAAGACAGACACACAGAGAAATGGATGATGAAGAGGAGGAAGGGCAAAGAAGGGGAAAGAGGGAAGGAAGAGGAACAAGGAGGAAGAAAAGGCCAAGAATGAGGAAGAAGAGGAGGAGAGGGAGGAAGAGGAGAGAGAGGAGAGGAAATGTGAGAAAAAGTAGAGAAGTAGTTTTGGGGATCTATCGTAGTATTAGAAAGTGCATCTCTAACCATGCCATCCTGGGCTACATGGGACACTACCAAAAAACAAAACAAACAAACAAACAAAGAAAAGAAACCAGTTCCTAAACTTAGCCATGGCCACCCTACACCCTACATTCCCTAGTCTCTAGATACCTTTAACAGCAATGGTGCTAGACACCCCAACTCTTCTTAAACCACCCCCCAGTTTTCACTTGAGTCACTTGGGGCAGATTCTAATCATGCAAAAGAGGCTCTCAGGACTGTCTGCAGGCTTTGAAGTGGGGACTGGAAGTAGATGCAGGCATCTGCCCCTAATGCAAAAAGAGGCTTTTCTGCTAACAACCAGCTGCTAACTGGGGAGGCCCTAGCAGGGGCTGCAACAAGGCACAGCAGCAAAAGGCCCATGTGGTTTCATTTGAGGCTAAACCCCTTCATTGCAGACAGATTTAAGATTAGGATCCCAGACAAAGGCTTGGGAAAGGAAGGCCCAGAGAGGTCACACATGTGCAGCAACCAAATCGAGGAAAGGCCGGGGCTTGCTGAAGTGTTCCCAGCAGGAAGGCACAGGCAAGGAGGAAGACTATGGGAGGGTTCAACAAGTTCGCAAGGGCCCCAGGGTGTGGTGAAGTCTGAGAAGAGATTCCCCTTAGAGAGGGGATGCCGGCAGATCAGAGGGGGAAGGCTTCAAGCAGAACTAACCTTTGAATTTGACGTGACAGATAACGCTACCTCTTTCTGCTACACTTTAGTCACACATAAATACCTTGACATCATTTAGGATGTCAGCTGTGATATGGTATATCTGTCTACCAATAGTTCATGTTTTGGAAAGTCACATGTTAATCACATCTGATGGTGGACCTTTGGAAGCAATTAGTCTTACAGAAATTGAGATCTCATCGTAGCTAGCCTTGTGGCAGTTTTGTAGAAATCTGGGAGACGAAGCCATGTTTCTGTTCCAAACAGAGCTGCACCAGACACTCTCAGAGAGCTCCCCGCTGAGACTAAAGACCTGACAGAAAGCAACTTAAGCAAAGAGGAGTTGAGTTTGGCTCATAGTTTGAGGGCATATAGTCTGTCACTGTGGGGAAGGTGTCATGGCAGGGGTGGGAAGTGCTGGTCACACTGCCTTCAGTCAGTCAGGAATCAGACAGAACAGCAAGTGGGGCCAGGTTGTGAATCCTTAGGGCTCACCCTGGCGACCCACTTTCTCCAGTGAGATGCCACCAGAATGTCAGCTGGGGACCACATGAACCTATGGGGGAAGGGAGAAATCTCAAATTCAAACCACAGTATCTTCCCAGATGAAAGCCCACCCAATGCTGCAGGAACCTGAGAAGTATTTCTGGTTCAGGCAGGCCTGAACCTGGAGTAGCCCCTAGCCACACTGTGGCTTCTTTGAACACAAGAGACTTAACCTGAGGATGACTTGCCTTGCTCTACCAGGCTCCCTCATCTACTCCTGACCTCTGTGACCGGCACCAATCTCCTATGAATCTCAACCACATCATACATATTGTCCGTATACTCTTGAAACCCTTAGTTAGCCAGTACACATGCCAGACTCCTCCCTAGTCAGAAGTTGGATACTTGACGGAGAAATTAGGGACAGATGCCTGAGCCCACCCTAGTCCCTGCTTCAAAGCTCTGATCCTTGCTCAATTGAATAATTCTAGAATTAATACAATCAATAGTGTGTGTGTATGTGTGTGTGTGTGCGCGCGCATACATACACATGTAAAGCCCATTTTTGTTACTTTAATAAAATATTTGAGGATGGGAAGTTCAAGTACATGGTTATTATCTTCTCAGGGTCTGGCAAGAGCCTCTAGTTGCATCATAGCAAGGTGAGGGGCTTCCTGCAGCCAAACAGAACAAGCATGCTAGTTCAATTCACTTTGAGGTTTGAGGTAGAGTCTCTCACTGGCCTGGGGCCTAATGACTGAGCTAGCCTGGCTGGCTAACAATCCTCAGAAGCCTTCCTGTCTCCACCTCCCTGTTCTGGAATGGCAATTATAGGCCACTGCACCCAATTTTTTTTTTTAAACATGGGCTCTGGGGACCAGATTCAGGGTCTCCTGCTTATTCAGCACAATGACTGCCTGAACTATTACAATGGGCATCTTAACAGACCTCGCCATGGCTCAAAAGGTGTGAAAACGTCAAGGAAGGACTAGTGTCAAACTTCATTACAAAATAACTACTACGTCTCAATGCTCCATTTGAAAAAAAAATTAATCATGGGAACTAATGTTAGGCATATGGTTAGTGTTTATACATGTGGGTGTCTGGAGATCAAGTCCATAAGTTTGCACAAGGATGATCTACATTCACTTCCAGATGCTGGGCACTGAGGAGTGATGGTCTTCAGGGGTGGACACATCCTGACTAATAACTGTAATATATAATCGCTACATTCACCACCAGATCTCAACATCTGTAAATCTGGGTAGCATTTGGAGGTCAGCTATGATTTAATAGGCCTATCAATAGTTCCCGCCTTGAAAAGTCACATGTTAACGGTATCTGGAGGTGGAGGATGTTTGGGGAGTAATTAGGATTAGATGAAGTCTGAGGGGTTGGGGAGGTAATCCCCATGACTGAATAATGGATTTATAAAAAGGGGCAGACAAACCTGAGCTAGCATGCTTGTTCTGTTTGGCTGCAGGAAGCCCCTCACCTTGCTATGATGCAACTAGAGGCTCTTGCCAGACCCTGAGAAGATAATAACCATGTACTTGGACTTCCCATCCTCAAATATTTTATTAAAGTAACAAAAATGGGCTTTACATGTGTATGTATGCGCACATGGAAGCTGGAGGTCAACCTTGGATGTTCCTCAGACGCCGTCTACCTTCTTGACAGGGCATTTCTCACTGACCCAGGGTCCATCAATTTGGTTAGGTTGAGAGAAGCGCCCCCCCCCCCCACCCGCCCCGTGTCACCTCTCCAGTGCTGGGGTTACAAGCATAGCTCACCACACTCAGGCTCACGAGATTCAGGGGATAAACAAACTCCACATGTCTATCACTCACAAAACTCCACATG